TGCCCGCAACCAAGGTACATGCCCTTGACCTGAATCGACCCCGGGCCCCTTCAGTCCGCAGGCCGATGCTCTATCCACTGAGCCAAACCGGCTCGGCTCCAGTGACCTCTTGATTCATGGGTCTAGGCTCAACTGCTGAGCCAAACAGGCGGGGCTGTCTTGTCAGATTTTGCTTGTACTTCTTACTAGCATAGTTTAGCAGAGAGATGAAATACTGTTTTGACAAGTCCTAGCCCAGAAGGTACATTTGCCATCAAAGTAGTCACTAATGTCAAAGCCAGTGCTCATGGCGCTGCTCTCTGTCTTTCTAAGAGGGGATGCTACCTGACTGTCATGGGGTGAGGGAGAGGTTGTATATAACTCAGAAGTTGAACAGCCTCTGAGCCCTTTCTGAGATGGTTTGTAAATGTCTGCTTCATACTAGTGTACCTGTTGTTAAGAAAAATCAGCACAACTAAACTTACAGAAGGATCCATCGCATGGTTTACACAAGCAGTCGCCATTCTCACTTGTCCTGTTGGAGGCTCTGTGTCATTGGCTCTAGTGTGGACGGACTTGAAGAGGTTGTGTCCCAGCCCTGGAGGAGCTCTCAGTCTGGTGAGGGGTGCTGGACTCGAGTGTATGACGTAGGTCAAGAATGCCAGGCACACCCATGGTCAGATGGAGACAAATACATTCCAGGAGTGAGGCTGCTGGCTGGAAGCTGACTGTATGGAGCTGGCATGAGAGCTTGCTCAGCTGGGGCTTGACCACACTTGTTCCAGAGGTGTGTAGGTAGTGCATTCCTTAAAACCTGTGCTGAGTGTCCTTTTCAGTCATGTCTTCTTAGAATTACTTCTTCTTTTTTTCTTTTTTTGTAACCCTCACCCGAGGATATTTTTTCCATTGATTTTTAGGGAGAGTAGAAGAGAGAGAGGGAAAGACAGAGAGAAACATGGATGTGAGCGAAACACATCAATTGGTTGCCTCCTGCACGAGCCCCAACCAGGACCTGAGCTGGGGAGAAGCCTGCAACCAAGGTACATGCCCTTGACTGAAATTGAACCTGGGACCCTTTGGTCTGCAGGCTGACGCTCTATCCACTGAGCCAAACCGGTTAGGGCTAGAATGACTTCTTGACAAGTGGCCCACTTCCCTGGAGTAGTGTGCTGTGGTCAGGTAACAGGGACCTGAGGTCAGATCTTGATTTATGCCTTGTACTCGTTTGTAACTTTTTAAAAAATATATATTTTTATTGGTTTCAGAGAGGGGGAGAGAGATAGAAACATAAGTGATGAGAGAGAATCATTGATCGGCTGCCTTCTGATCGCCCCACACTGGGGATTGAGCCCGCAACCCAGGCATGTGCCCTGACCGGGAATCGAACCCAAGACCTCCTGGTTCATAGGTCGATGCTCAACCACTGAGCCATGCTGGCTGGGCTCGTTTGTGTCTTCACCTTGAGCCTCAGAGTTCTGATTTCCCAAAAGGGATAATAAAATCTTCATAGAGTTATGAGAATAGCTAAGTGTTTTAGTTGTAATAATAAGTAAGTGTAAGATAGCTAACATCCTGCTGCCCCATGGAAGGGGTAATGTGTTGGTGTGGGCCCCCCTCCCTTTGCTGAGTATTAATTGAAATAAGAGAATTGTGTTTGGGGCTCTGAAGCCTTATGTTTAGATTTACAGTATTTAATTACATTGAAGTAATGATTTATTGTCATTGCCACTGGTTGTTTTGTGCAGTCTTGGAAAGTGCATTTCTGTCAAAATTAGTTACTTTTCTACTGTCTCATAAAAACAAGGAGTAGGTCTTGCATATTACTAAATCTCCTACCAATTGTGTAACTGGTATTTTGAGAGGGATCCTGTTCTTAGATTTAAGGCAGATTTGTGTTATTTTCTCTCAGACACCGGCTCCATCTGCCAGGTTTCATTTTGCCTGGCCAGGAGGAGCCTAGAAACGTTCCTTGCACAACATAAACATTTAATGATTAGTTGTGAAGGGCTAGTGTAAATACTGTATACATTCATGCTTTTGTCATTATAAATCCTGGAAAGTGCTATTCCAGAGCAAGCTAAGCCCTCCCAGGATCCTACTCCAAAAATAGGAGCCTCTACACTGCCTATTGCCAGTGTAAGTGTTCACCGCCCTGACTGCTTTGTGTAGCTGATATGATTATGAAGGGAATGATTTCTGGCTCTGGCTCTAGTCTGGCCCTGCCCTGTACAAGGTCTGTAACTTGGGCCTTGTCTTTATCATCTATAAAATGAAGCCAATATGTCTGATTTGCCTATCTCGGATGTTGTGAACTTTCAGTCATATCCTATGAGCTGTAAACATTGCAGGGTGTTGTTATAACCACTTCTTTTTACCCTTTCTCAGTGTCTTGCTGCTGCTTTTCATGTGGCTGCATTTGGTGCATGCTTCTTGCACCAAAGGCATGCACCTTCCCTAGCATCACTCCATTCTTGTTCTTTGTTAGGATTTTGAAGGTGATGACACTCTAAGCTGATGCCCTCCAGAGGCAATTGTGGTGATGTGCTGTTAGCAAGCCCCTGCCTTTTTGTTTGTTTATTTTAAAATTGGGATATAATCGATCAGGGCATTTCCGAAAGCTTTGTGCTAACACCTAAAAATTTACATCTAATTTAAGACCCCATGAGTTCTGGTCATAGACCGATTTTTTTGTTATTTTGTTAATCCTCACCCAAGGATATTTTCTTTTCCCATTGATTTTTAATATATATATATATTTTGTTGATTTCATAGATGAAGGGAGAGGGAAAGAGAGAAACATCAATGATGAGTATCCATTGAGCCAAACCAGCTAGGGCTCCCAT